AGTTCAAGAACTTATTTCATGTTAGCAATAATCTATATACATATATAATGTATATTAATTGAAATGTGACTGTATTTTACAAAATACTAGTCCACTAAAACACAGCCAAGACAAGTTACTTTGTACAAACCAAAGGTCAGTTTTATGTTATTTGATACAGTAACATGAGTGTACATGTGCCACGTCATTGTAACTTCTGTATTGTTTGCCAGGCATGGCTCCAAGGTCAACATAATAAAAATAATAAATATGCATAAATGTATAATGTTATGAGATTTAAGCTATTTAGTTTAAACATTTATGTTTTTGTGTTATAATTTGTGTTCATTCTAGAATGAAAGAGGCATAATTTATATTTACTTCCTAATTTTTTATGGTGGTTACGAGATTGGTCGAATCTACCGAACCTGTACAGAGATTCATTACTGAAAATAACGGATAAAATATAAAGTTTTTTCTTAAGAAACTTTTGATAACTATCTGGACGTTATAAAGATTTCGCATGTGAAATTTGAAAATTAGTTTGCATGTTGGATAGGCAACATGCAAAAAGAAAAAAAAGGAAGAGAAAAATATTGCTTTACAAACCTTAAGACTTAATAAAAAAACTTTGATATTTTGCATATGAAAGCATTGTAATGTTTACTGATAATGTACCAAATTTCATTAACATTCGCTTAGTAATTTAAAAGTTATAGCATGAAAACTATAACAAGCACAAAATGGTTATCAGGTCGGTCCCACGGACCAAGCCCATGCTGAAATAGTCATGTTACATAAACACATTGGTAGTTATAAAAAGGTAATGTTTAAGCAGTCAAAGATAAAATTCTAGAAAGAGATATTGCAGATTTTCATGTGTAAATGTCTTTTGACAAGATTCTGTTTGAGCATCAGTTCACAGTGCCTGTGTGAGAAAATGAATCTCTAAATTGTTTAATGGTGTATGTGTGTGCCATATGGAGTCATAGTGTGCATTCTGTACAGAGTCAGGATGTGGGTCATGTGTTTGGGACTTGAGTTTTAGTGTCTTAGATGGTTGAGCATTTGCCTCGGAACACCAGTGTGAGCAAGTGTCCCAGGTTCATGCAGTTTTCTTAGCATCCTGATATATTCACTAAGAGTTATTTGGAGAAAGGGCTACAGCCAGAGGTGAGCTTCGGTATCAGTGCATGATTTGAAGCAGTACCGAGTAGAAACCGGTACAAACAGTAGACATAGTTTTATAGTACAAGTTTTATGATATTTACTGTGCATTAAATTATAAAATAGCTATGAAAATCACACGTATTTCTGTACTCATCCAGCACATATAGTTACAGCAATATTTGTAATTATGACAATGGTATACTTTGTGGTTTTACAGTTTCTTCTAAGCAACAAGTTAGGACTTTCTCTGATAATTAAATACAATGACTCAAAGCTTTGTAATTATAATTAACAATAAAACTACAGGAGACAGCTTTCTAAACATACAGGCTGTACATCTTTTGGAAGCTTCACAGTATCAACCCTTTCTGTACAGGAGAGGTATCACTGAAGTTTCCAATTTCTTCCTCGTCTACCATTAGAAATACTTAACCAAATTGCAGGAGCCTCAGTTCAAACTTACTATGATTAGTATTTATAGTTTTGACTTAAAAAACTTGTATAATTTAATTCAAAATTTCTATAATTTTTTGATTATGAAATTACACAAGATAAGACAAATATCATTGGAATGTTCACAATAAATTCCTTAAACTTATGAAAAAATTTACATCTTCTGAAACAAGGCAGGAACCATGTTCAACTTGTTATTAGCTCTTACGTATCACAGAGAAATAAGTGAAATACTGCACCATCAATAAGAGAAACAATAATGAATGGTGTGGAATTGGAAATAATTAAAGATCAGGATTAATTACTTTTCTCATGATTACATACCTTACCTGCTGCTAAGGCAGTTGCCTCACCCACAACAAACGTCAACTTAGATCTCCACTTACGTGACAGAACCTCTCTCTCGTCTGACAAGAAATAAAAAATTCTCATGAGTTGTTTTCAGAGTACTACATGTCACAAAGAGTGAAATGCCAACTTTATTTTTATATTTTAATTATATTCTTGAAAGTATTAATATGTTACTTATTTTTTAAAACACAAGTATATAAGAAGTATACAACAGAATTACAATCTTGTTATTAACTAACACTTACCACCTGAAAGTATAGACATGGCACAGGTAACAGCCTCTACGGCTCGCTGGCTCGTGAAAACAATACCAGAATAGTCTCTTTTCAAACTGGCACTTAGTTCTTCTAAGTTAATAAACTGAAACTGGAGAATAGGAATGATAACAGGTTGAAGATTGAGTGTCTTCAAATGCTAAGAGAGAGAAATGCACAGATGTTTTAAAAGCAGGTTACATATACATAACAGTTAAGTTTTAACAATAGATGAATTACATTCTTCTATTCATTTACTCTCAGTTTAAGTCTATTAATTAATAGACTCGTCTTTATTCATAACTCCTATATATTATAAGCAACAGCCAAGGTTTTAAAATGTTCTCGATTTATGGGTTCATTACATCGACATAGCACATGTCTTTTAGTGCTTGATCACGATGTGGATTTTTATGCTCTTGTACGTGTGTTTTACTGCCCTAATAGTCGAACCTAAATTACATTTAGGATACCTATGTTGACATATTACAGTTGATGTTTGATAATCAGATATTCAATCTTTATGTTTAAAAAATGTATTATTCTACACACTGTCTTAAATACACATCTCAACTTTACTATCTAACTATAATATTTTTTAATTATTTAGAGACTGTGAAAAAAAATCACAAGGTGAGTAAGGTGTTTAAATGTTTTTAGTCGCAGCATGATGGCTTGTAGAATGGCTCAGG